CTCTCTTCTTCCGGCACCCAAATGAGCACGAACGATGGTTCCGCATGCGCAATACACGGCCTAAACAACGCAGCCTGTGGTGATGGGCACACTCTTTAGGTTATATCCTCGTTGCACAATCGGGCTTGAGATGGCTCCCACTTACTGACCAGAAGGCCCGTCGTCCTGGCAATCTGGCAATATCTTAGCCCTTGCGCTGTTTTCAGGTGGGAAGGGAGGTGCTACACCAAAGCGGTTGTTATCGTTTGCGCGAACAGTTTCTCTCTAACGTCCTCGGTATGACTTCGCCGATACGAACCTACGCGTTCTATTACTCTGCATGTCCAAGAGCATGAACTTACAAATTGTGCCGAAGACGGCTTTTGTGAATTTATCCAAAAGCACCCTCATCTCTTTGAAGACCAGAACGACAGTCTTTTCTTCGTAGACTATTTGAACACCAAGTTTTTAAGACCTTCCAGTATTCATTTCAATACATATTCGACCACGAAATCAAATAGGTTTGGATAGAATTGGCATGCTTTCGACACACCGCTTTGTTTAGAGATCTGCGTATACACTCATGTGCTCGGAAGCTTGGGAATACAAACTACTTAGTATGTTCACAAGTTTCTTTGGCATTCCTTCCTGAGGAGTAAAACAGACCGGTCAACTGAGTTGAAAGAGCCCTGGAAATTCAGGAGAACTAAAATTATCAATCGTTTGTACCTGTGGCATTGTTCTAGCACCTGACGGAATGTAAAGATTTGGTCAGTGCAACCTCTACCAGGCCGGGATCCCGCTTACTTCTCTGAAGTCAGTGGTTTGTCGGCCGCCGTAAGGCAACGAAGGACAAGTGAAGCTAAGGGTCTCGTTACGAACGGCGGCAAGCTGATCCTCATGTGATTATCCGACTCATAAGCCTCTTCGAAAATGGGTAATATTATCAATTCTAGCTAGTTGTCAGAAACATTCTCTTTTCCCCAAATGCAGGCGAACAGATCAGCGCTGGCTGAGGACTTCACCCAATCTTTGAGCAGTGTGGATAGGAGTTCTTCCGGAGCAGGAACTCGTTTGCTCTTGAGAGACCTCCGAGGCCGCAGGGTTTTTTAAGCTTCACCGTCTAGGGTTCTACTTGATCTGTAGAATCCAAATGAGTGGTAGTGAGTGGTCACTAAAATAGTCATCATCATCATAATCGACAGCATGATATCAGTGTTCAACACTGATGCTTCACTGCCGTATTGTTGTTCGATTTATTCCCCCCAGTGATCGAGGTGTTCTTTATACAAGACGGTCGCACCACTTTAGTCATTGTTGGGCCTCTTCGATTTTCATTGCATTCCGAGTCCACCCGGTCCCACGGTCAGCACGCTCACTTTCAGTTGACGTCCTTTAATTCATCGGGCCAAATTATCTTCGGGACCGGTGTAGACATTTCCTCGAAAACCAGGCAGTATCACTGTTCTGTCTAATATCCAGACCTTGGGGTGGGCCTGGTAGCGCCATACCACAACACTGCACAAAGGTGGCGATCCAATTTCAACCTGATTTCGCGTTTGAAGTTGCAGCAGCTGGAAAGACTCTAGAAGACTATTTTTTGTCAATTCGTCTAACATCCGGATCTGCCAGCCTCTCGGTTGCAATTTATCGACAGATTTCGCAGTTCTTAAAAACGAAGGAACGAGCAACCGAACGAACGCGTGGTCGGAATTTGCAGCTTTTGAACCGATGTTTTCTAGCCCGTCTCTCGGGAGAAGGTAGCATCGCTGTTTCCATAAATATGGGCAGTGTGGGGGAAACATGAGATTACCAATCGTCAGATACACGAATGGTCTTAGTAAAAATAAACCGTCTCACGTGGGTGAGCTACTCACACCTTGGGATACACGAATGGTCTCACGTGGGTGAGCTACTCACACCTTGTAGGTTACGCTTGTCAGGACTTGTACTCCGCATGCAAGAGGACCGTTTGCCTTGCAAATGTCTCTCTATCTAGCGCTGTGCTAAGTGGAAGTGACCGAGAGGTGGACTGTCTCTGACTTGGCAGCGGAGTATGGCAACTAACCAGCAAAATCAGTTGGATCAACGACTGTCGACCACACGGATGGGGACCTCGTGACCCAACTCACTAATGATTAGTGACACGGAGCGGGATGGGTCAGGTGGCTAGAGCGCGAATTTATTGACCGGAAGATCCGTGGTTCGAACCTGACCTCTGCCTCTCGACTTTCCTTTTCTTGGCTTGGACAATCTGGTAGCATCCCAACCCTCTTGCTTCCTTTGGGTGGCATGGCTGCTAGGCATTGAGAGGGTGCCACAGCTGAACGACTACCTTTTATTTTTTAATGACACTGGCAGATATAGCTGAATCATACAATCAGTGGCGCTCGTTCATCAAAGCTGTTTTCTTCGGCGCGTAGCTGTCCAGGTCCCCAAACTAACCGATCGTGACGTCGCTTCGAATGCTTGGCTATATCCCCCCACACTCCCGTTTTCCAGTGACTGAAACCAGCACCTGGAACCAACGTACCCTTGGTACGTGACTTATTGCTGAGAAAATGAACTCAACCGAAAGTCCGAGAACTTCCCTGCTGATGGTGTCGAAGGCCTCGGTGAAATCTATGAAGAGGACATGGAACGACTGGTAATGCCTTGCGAGACTCTTTGAGGCCCTGTGCTGCAATCAGCGTGGGGTCCCCATTGTTCTTTGGAAGGTGCTTCGACCACTGGTTATTAAGCGGTTGAGTATCGCTTATGTTAGAATCATGACAGCATTGCTCATCAGGCTAATACATCTGTATTTTTTTAGGAGTCTTGCTTCCTCTCCCTGGCACACTCAGTTGCTACACTGAGGAAGCGCATTCTCCATTGTTAGATTGCTATACATGAACAGTTGTACGGCAACCACGTCTCTCCCGGCTGACTTGCAATTCTACAAATGCATGTCGGACCGCTTTATCTCTTCGATAGTCGCAAGGTTTATGGAAGTTTCGTCTCACAGTGAGGTAGTCTTTCCAGTTCAATCCAGTCGGTTGGTTTAGAAGTTCGTTGAAGTGGTCGCTCCGTATGCGCAGAATTTCTGCGGAGGACATTTGGTTTTAATCCCCTGTCAGCATTCTGTAGAGTTAGGCCCGCTTGGTATTTGGCTTTTAGCGAGTATTAAGTTCTTTGTTCCACCGCCGAGTAGCAAATGCCTTGATCTAATCACTTCGCATCCTTCATCACCCTCCCCTGATGCAGTCGACTCAGGTTATTTCGGGGCAGCTTTAACTTATACTTTTTGACCTCGCTGTCCAGATTGTCAATTAATAAGACAAGAGCTTTGTTCTTCTTTAAGTGCTGACAGTTTCGTACGCTAGTTATTGTCATCAGGCCAGTCACCGCGTCCTGGACACATGTGATCTAGCTGACTGCTGCCATCTAATGATCTAAGTTGTGCTACGCTTCTAATAACGGGCTCGGTGGATTGTAGGCTCAGTCCGGAGGCCACTCGATACTGGTACATCGACCTGGTTTTCGAATCTTTCAGATGCTTTCCGTCAATCTTTACGCGTTCGCCGTTGCGGCCGGCGTAGTTTGGCGTACGAAGCTGGATGTTATGCTCTGTTTGGGCAAGCCGGTGGTATGTTTCACAGACATTTGCATAATTCGTGTAATGGAGGATCTTCCTGGCGAGTGGTACCGTAATCGAGTAGAGTGGCCGCTGTTTGTGCTTGTCTATGTGGTAGTTTATTACTTTTCTAGGCAAAGTTTCCTGTTGTTGATGGCAAACTGCTCAGATTGCCGGTGCCATAACATCCGGAAATGCCCGAACACGGGACATGGTCTCGACGACACGTAAACTGAAGCTTCCGAGCAAGAGAATCTTGTCGGTTTTCGGAACTGACCGAAGTGGCGCGTGAACTCCCACGTAGAGATATTTGTGGTCCTTGTGAAAGTTTCTGTTGTTTGATTGAAGCTGTAGTTGTTTGATGCATATGCAGGAACCACACAAACCATACACACAATGGCTAAGATTTCTGCCAGTGAGACAGACTACCGTTCATGGTATTCTGTCAATTGAGAAAACTTCAGCTTGGAAACTGGGAGGTTTAACAATGCCGGTCGAACCCACTGCCTGATCTCAGTCTGTAGCACCTATGCAGCGAATTTGCTATAGGACTGATTACTTGGATCTCGTATTCCCGCTCCGGAAATGCCACATTTATCTATCAATAAAAAATCGAGGGTATGCACCAAGGCTGATATGCTTTAGAGTTCATATGTTAAAAGCTACCTTGGAAACAGTAGAGCGAGTGCTGAAAGGCGGCGGGTGTGATTGACAGTCAGTTCGTTGTATGCAAGACCGATGTGCTTGTAGCTTTAAGACCTCTTATTCAAATTCCTTGGCTCAGAATTCTCACCGCAAGACAGTTGGTTACCCTAAGTCCATCAGAATATCCCGATTTCTAAAGTGCAAACTGCCACATGTTTTAAATTTGAAAACTGGAGGGTCAGGTAACCGTGTCAGTATGACCTTCAACCACCGACCATCCCCGCATGAGATACACTGTAAGCCTTGAGGTCACTCCCGGTATAGCTCAATGGATCGTGAAGGTGCACGAGTCGTCATGCTATTGTAAGCTCTAATCTGATTGTGGTGGGGACTGGTTAGTAGTTTAAAACATTGATAAGGATCGGCCAGTCGCGTAGTCCATAATGCTCCTACATCATAGCTGCCGCCTCCAATGCATGACCCAACTGCTCGCTATTGCCGTACCTGTGAACCAAGAACCTTGACGCGTTGAACCGCAAGAAGTTGGTACAAGGTTATCCGTGTCAAGCGAATACTCGACACAACTGAAATCATTAACGTAGGCGTTTGAATGCATGGATACATTTCGTTGACTGAGAAAAGGTGAACTCTCATGTGTAGGCACTTTAAGACGTCCGAAATAAGGTGGCCATCCATAACATGTCTCAGTGTAACCGATAATTTGTCCATCTCATACTTTTCAGGTTTATACGGTAGCTTTCAAATGAAGCGGTGTCTGACATGCCCTCGGATAGGAAGCACTCGAAAATCAAAACGTTTGCGCCGAAGTCTATCTGACCCAATCCGACGTGAAAGAGTGGGCTTGCTGAGTGCACTTGAAAAACTACCTGTTGAAATAATACATCGCGTGTTGTCTTTTTTAAATCTGGACGACCTGCTCTCTCTAAGCTGTGCTTCGTCACAGTTGAAAGTTCTGATTGAGGTGTTTGTTAACACCAGTCGGTGCGTTCTCCTGCGAGATTTTCGCGAGCCTCATTCAATTCAGTACGACACGTATTCGAAGCACGTATCACAACTCTGTGAAACATACAAGAAAATTGGTAAGCGTGTGTTCATGTATGCTGATGTGTCTATGTCCATACAGGTCTGTTATTCAAGGAATTAGCTTGTGATTTCCCAATGTGTGTTACCACTAGAATTCTGGAACGCCACTTATCTAACGTAAGTTATTCGGTTTTTCATTATTTACTTGAACAAGTATTCCTGCGTTATTTAGTCATTTTGCACAATATGTGCGCAGTTTTTACAGCGGATGTCTGTTTTGTTCTGCCTGGATGATATCGTAGCATTCACCAAAGGCTTGATCCATTCGTACGGCACTCGACAGTCTCCATGCGCGGTTTTGTTTCAGGTGGCATTGGTATGCACATGAACATCTTAGGGCCAACTAGTACTAGAATTACTGACGGAGAAATCGAGCAAAGATTGCTGTAAAGCAATGATATAATACAGAATACAGTAACAGTTTGCTACCGGTATATCTAGTCTTGTCATTCTCTTCTCATTGCCTTGTGCTCAGCACATGTGTCATCTCGATACTGATTATCTTCGAGGACGGCCCGAAGCGGATGGTCCCGTCCTCTCGAACCCAACGCCTACTGGTGGATCACGACGAGTTCCATGTCGTTTCGGATATTTGCGGTGTCCGGCGCTTCTCCTCTACGGGCATTTCCTCCGAGAGTTCACTTCTGATTGGTCGGAACCACACAAAGACAAGTTGCTCCGCGACCTTTTTCACTGTTGTTTTAGTGAAAACCTTTGGCGAAAGTTGACAGCCGTGGTGTGTGAAAATCCAGGTTAGTTCTAGCTCACTATTTCGTTGTCTCTCTTAACCGCTAAGCCATTGCAGTCTACCGCAGATGTGGACGCGACTTATCCATGCTCTTGGCCTTTTCGTCTGTAACATCTCACTATCTGTCCGGGATCCCAAGTTGAACCACAACTCATGGTTGTGTTCTCTGGCATCCGTTTAGCGATCCCACTTCCAGGTCAACTCTTGTACATACTTTCAGGGTCACTTTAATCGACCTTCGTTATACTTTGAAGCCAGGCGGCGTTGCACTTTCGGCGTTTTCGAATATTTTGTAATCCACGATTAGTCAGTTTCGTGAAAGGCCACCATGTACAACCGTCTACTTATGGTCTTCCTTCTACAGGCAGCTTCAATGCGGTCTATTGTAGCCAGTTGGTCCGAAATATTGTAGCAATAATCGAAAGTTCGATCTGTGACCTTTATAACCGATAACTTTACATATCTTGACGAGTAGGAAAGAGTAGTGTCCTTTGCCGTGTTGCGACGCTTTTAACCTCGAACTATTTATCATCAACTATCAATGACACTGCAGTGTTCTGGAAATCACTATACCAGTCAGGAAGGTGGGCTCGTTATGTACAGAAAACAGCTGAATGCTTTGAATGATTCCCCATCCTGTTTCCGAAGTTTCGTGATACAGAATAGTAGCATAAAAACGTTCGTACATAAGTTCATTAGATGGTTTTTTAAGTAAGTAATCCGCCCACGGCGGTGCTTGGCTAGTTCCAATATCGGAACGCCGTCTACGAATTGAAGGTGATTAGTCTATTATCCGGTGGTCAGCTGTAAGACAACCGATCACCGGCTTTAGGCGTATGGGTGACGGCTGTTTCTCTGGGATGGAATGGGTAGTTAGAAGCGCTTATTTGCACGTCCCACATGCATGGCTAATGGTGCTCCTTCATCGAAACTATCGCTGGTTGTACCTTCAAATTAACACATTTTGCCAGTACTTTCAACCCTATCTACCTACTGCTAGCTAATAAACAACTGTAGCAACTGGAGTTCCGCTAAATGACTTATACGCAGTGTAACGCACTGTCTGCGTTAGCAACAGATCATCTGCATTGTTCATTATGGTCGCCAAGAGATAGTCCAGAAGTCAAGGCGTGAACTTATTGATTGGAAGGTCCGTGTTTCGAACCCGACCTGGGCATCTTGAATACTGTCTAGGCTTGGGCGACCTGGCAGTACCCCAGCCCTCGTGTTTCCTTCGGGTGACATGACAGCTAGGCGCTGAAAGGTTGTTACGGCTGGACGATTATATATTTTACCTGTGTTCTCACCTAGGAAAAGATCTTCACTCAGAACTTACTCTCAGATTGTTCATTCGACGCGTATTTCTGGATCCGGCCGCTTTACCACAACCCATCCAAGAGCGTCAGCCTAGTTTATCCGAAAGAATTTCGACTGGACAACATTTGCTGCATTCGACTTCACACCTGGAAGTTCTGTCCGCGAACAATCGTGATGTAAGAACCGAAGCAAATCTTCAATGTTTTGCAGTCACTCCATCTTCCGATAGCAGTCTCTCACTCTGCCACTTCGGTAAGGCGATCGGTGACAATCAAAGCACAAGTACATCGAGTTCGTCTACAAATCAATTCCTCCCATCTCACTGCGAGTGAGTTTGCTTGTCTATTTCGTACGCTTTCTTGTAATTCCACCGTTAACGAGTTGTAGTCACACGGATTGGGCTTTGTAAAGTGCTGTAGATTTGTCATAGGTGATCAGTAGAGTAAATGTGAGGTAGGGAATGTGTGCATTAACCATAAGAACGAAATTCAACGTATCAAATCACATGCACCGAATCGATGGCTCAGTTTGCCTTTTCTGTGGCATTCTCGTTTTGGAGAATTCAAACTGGACAACTACCCACTTCGAATTTCATTCAGTTTTCAATTGTATCCTGGTTTGAGTTGCAGCCAACGTATGTTCCGTTTGGACTATCGCGGCTGCGCGTTTGTTCGCTGCACAAAAAATGTGAGTCGAGGCCCGATTCACCGGTGATCTAGTGGTTATTCGTCTTCATGGCAGCTCCCGCTTACACATTTTTTCTTTAACGTTGAGTCGTTTCAATCCAACACTGTTGTGTACGCTGTCCCCAACCAGTCATTCGTACCACGTGACACCGCTGAGTGCTCATCTCTTTACACTAACCAAAATCTTCTGAATGTAATTCTGATCGGTCCACTTTTGAAGTCGTGTGGTGATATGAACATCATATGTAAAGCGAACGAATCCCTTTAGGAAGCGACTGGCTTTGCCTGATCCCGATATCTCATCTTTGAGAAGGACCGTCGCCTTATATAACTAGTCCAATATTAAGATGCACCGAGATGTTCATTGCTACTATCAATTACGTCGATTTCTTGTTCCTTCATTTTTGTCCGTATTTTGTATCTCAGTCGTAGCTATGGAGACGTCTCAGCCCTATTTGAAATACCCACATCGGCCCCAATCATCACTCGGCCCTCTTATTACACTGTCGCTTCTCAACCAGTTCGCGTATCCAGTCATCCACAACCAGTTTGGGCCGCCTCACAAACGTTGCTGCATATTCTGAGTTCATATCCAATAGTTCATCGGGCTCGCATACTCTTCATTCTTTATGGTCCGATGCATAAAGGTGAGTTACTTTTGACACTTTGATGCCTGAGTTTTTTTTTGTATGTACCTAATGATGCTGATGGTTTGGTGATGGTCAAATGGTCAGAATAGCCACTTTGAAGCGGTTGTCGGGTTTAGTTGCTGCGATGATCACGCTGGCTCCACGATGTGGAACTTCTTTTACAGGGAAGGCCAAAGGGTAGTAGCCGGACAAAAAGTAGCTAATTTTTTAATGCGAATAATCATGTCACGAGGTGATCTTTGATCTTAAGTTCATACTGCTTGTAATGAAAGTAGAATCTTTCCTGCAAACAACCAGCGGATCCATATTTTTGGCAGCAACGATGCTGTCTTCCCCAGATGAGGAGTTAGCAAATGTTATACCCAAAAACAACATGGACAATGCAGACCCGAACGCAACTGCTTCAAAAGTCAGGCTTGTATGCCTTAGTCCCCGCGTCTTTGGGCTAGGCTAGCGCCCACATCCAAGTGGGTCAAACTATCAAGCCAGACAGTTTCTTCCGGGAATATCTTACACCTGCTACCCTTCTGGTTTATTGTTGAGTTAGACGTCGAGGACTAGGCGCCCAATGCTGCCTTGTGGGCGAATGGCTCAAGATGGCATACGCCAACTAATATGCTTTCTCAGCCTGGTTAACGGGGAACTATCTGTTACTTTCACCATTCTGTGTTCATTGATGCCCTACCCTTCTACAAACACGCGTTGCAGGATTATTTAATTGATCTTATTCAACCCGCCGCGCATTAATACCAACAAAAATAAGCTTTCCACATGGACGTTTTCAATGTCCAAACCAGCACTACTCAATGGGATCCCACACCCTTTTTACCATAACATTTTGTGTCCTAGAAACCCTCATAGAAGCCTCAGTTTTTGTCATGCAACTTGAACCAGCTGGGACCTACTCAACTGTATCAGATTCTTCTCTCTGATTGGCCCTCAATCGAGGATTCCTGGTGTGTGTGATATGAGAGTTAAGCCCAACTTTACAGTTGAACACGCGTTGTAGTTTAATTATCCAACCCAATCATGCCTGATGCCATTCAACTTAAACATCTGTGCCCGTTTGTAATTCCAGCTTATAATCACACAGACTGCAGTGCAGACACTGAGAAAGACACTTGCTATCAACGTTTATCCTCACTAATTCGTCATGCAAACTGCTTTGATATTTTCGTCCCTGTTGATCATATGAGTGCCTAAGTCGGTTGTCTTAATTCGGTAGAACCACATTTGTGTTATCGATTCGGAGTTCATGATGTCCTCATGGCAAAGGACGTTTGTAGAAGCACCTTGATCATCGAATGACTAGCATGAATCTTCCACATGAAACTCACCGTGTATTTTAGACGAAAATTATGTTAGACTGGAAGTTTGTTCTTCTTGGCTACCCATAAGGTTCCAGCAGAATGGTTTTTATTTCCGGGAAAATGGATAACGGCGCATGGTTGCGATTGTATACATTATTTGTCGAAGGATTCCGTGAAAAAAATGTGTTCAAGCTGGATGCCTCTTCTTTGTCTGTTTGCTGTCACTGGTAACTTTGTATTGTGATTCACGACGGCTATGCTGTAGCTTAGACTGCTTCCGAGTATATTAGAAAATGGCTAAGCTTAATTCAAAGTTCAATGAGGACAAAGGAAGGTTGTGACGTCTTGATCAGTAAGGCTATCGCAACATTTTCCGCAAGGAGCGAGGAGAGCCGATTTGGGAACGTTCGATCCCGATTGGTCCGCAGTCTGGTCACTTGGAGCCTGCCTACTGATCCGCGAACGGTTGGTCGTACATCTGTCCAGTCGATGTAATGGTCGCGACAATATATTTGGGTTCCATCGAACTTGCAGCGTATAATGCCATGCTGCAGCACCTTCTGTGGAGTAGCCCGGAAGATTTACGGGAAATTCTGTGATGCATGATAGTTTCATATGCCACTCTTGATTATTTTCAAGTAAAAACGACGCACGAGAAAGACTGATTCAAAGAAACGTAACTCATCTACATATAGAGTTGTCAGAAAGTCGAAATGTATTATACCTTAAGTTTGTGGAGGCTGTAAACCGAGCTGAAATTAATCTACCTACCCTTGCTGTTGCTATGGTTCGGACTGTAAATATTGTTCTTCGCCTTTCTTTCAGGACGTTTGATGTGGCGCACAATGTGTGAAAATACGGCCGCTGATTCGGAACAATTATCAGCCTGCTTTGGTGAATTGGGAAGCGTACTACAGAATATGTTGGAAATTGGAGCATGGACCCCTGAGCAAACTTTGTCCATTCTGAACGAAATCATTGTGATGCCTGATGAGTGGCTCGCCGAAAATGTAGCCTGTCTGCTTTATACATCAGGTTGTTTAATTGTTCTTTTTTTGTTATATTCCTCTTTCACATTCCCAGTACTTAATAGTCTGTCCTCACAAAAACCGGTCTAGCCCATTGTTTCGTTCGTATCAATTAACGTGGTGAAGTGGGTCGTCTTCTTATGGTTAACACATAGTATGAACTGGAAAGCTGTTGGCACGAACAACAGATGAAGTGAGACAGAACATATGGACTGGACGGAAATGATATTATTTCCAGGTTGGTCCGTGATAGCTTATTGGTTAAGGCGCAGAATTACTGGCAGAAGTACCGGGGTTCGAACCCCCAGGAATCTCAACTGCTCCTGTCTAGGCTTGGGCAACCTGGCGGTTTCTCAGCCCTCGTACTTCCTACAGGTGGCATGGTAGCCAGACACCGAGTGTGCTAAAGCTTGACTTTTATAGTAATATATTTATGTGTACGAATGTATAAAAGAAATAAAAAGCTGATCACAGACATGTTTTTCGGATTAAATCCTGCACCAGTTTCCGTCCCAAGTTTTCGTATCTGTTGTTTGTTTTCGTTTTCCGTAAATCCTAATGGGTTCCTGTTCGATAATTTGTTTCAGGGTCGCGTCTGACTTCGATGCTAATCAGGCAAAAAGCAGTCACTGGACAAGTGGGCGAATTGGCTGTCACTCTGACCTCACTATGCTTAGTACGAGTACGTTTTCCCTAGGCCGATTTATCTTTTGCTTTCATCCTGTCGGTCCCTTTACGAGCACACTTTTCAGTTCCCCAAACTTGTTAGGAGCCTGTTTTCTCGTGTTCGGAAGGTCCGCGGTTCGAACCCAATCTCGGTATCTCCACTGTCCCTATCTAGGCCTGGGAAATCTAACATCATCTCAGTCCTCTCGCTTCCTTCGGGTGGTATAGCATCTAGGCACCGAAAATGTTGTAGCTGAATGATAGCTATTTTATTGTAGATTACCTTGGTTTTTCACTTCTGGTTTCAAATCCGCTGATCTAATACCGCTCTCTGTACGCTCACCAGTTCTACGCCTTCCGTTCTGTTTGGTGGTTTGCACGATCTCGGTCTTCAATTGCTGTGGCATGAAGGCTTTGACATTCTCCAATTATGCTTTGTTTTCATCTTGTAAGTGTCCTACGCCTGATGACTTCTAACCTGGCCCTTATTCGTCTGCGTTTCTTGAGTCCTAATTTTTTCCTTCGGTCATGTCGGTGCCGATTTGAGTGTGGCTGATTTTTTCTTCAAGATTTTATGCAGTTGTCGAAATTTGTTCAACAAACACTATCCCTGGTCCTATCTGCAGGTTGGTTCTTCAAACGTGCTGGTGCCTAAAGTACGACTGTTATGTTGGCTGTATAGAACATCCTCCGAATGACCTTTGGTTTCTCCAGCCTGTTTTTTAGTCGAACTTCATGTTGGGTCGTAGAACCGTGATCAGTATTCTGCCTGGTTGACGTTTTAACACACTAATCCCTGCTTTCTTGCTATCCGTTTTTTTTGTCTAAACTTAGACTGCTATGTGTTAAATTGGCAAGCTCTGGTGAGGCGTTGCGGTTTTGGATGGTCTACTTTTTTACACACAGTCCTCACTCGGTTAAAAACTGATGAGACAACACTAGTAGTCCAACAATTGAACCGAACCTCAAGCGCAACCCGTTGTGTGGACTTTACTGTGCGAGGCTGTATCCGGCGCGAGTATGCATGTCGGTAGTTGAGTTGTCCAACAGATTTTTTTCTGACCCAGCGAGCTGTCTGTCCTACTGATTGTGACCCCGGCAACTGCCTTTATTATCAGCAACGGTACATCTCAAATGTAAGGGAGGTAATTGCTTGTTAGGCAGTTTTTGTCTTGCGCTAAGTTGCTCCGGCTGATCGGTTCCCACAAGTGCGTCTGAATAAATTGAGTCGCCGACAATGAGCGCAGGTTAGGTAGTATATCAACTCAAATTTTCGGCTACCGTATACTGTATGTCTCTGCGTTTGACTGTCGGTGTCTTCGAAGCATAGCGCGGATCTGTTAACAACATCAGCTCAGCAATGCTGAAGTACGCCAGGTGGATTTCAGGAAAGTTAGATCCGATGGTCACACCCCACAGTTTACGCTGGTTAGCCCGTGTAATTCATATGTCGGAGAACCGTTTGCCTAATAGAACCGTCTTTACCTAACCCTGTGTCGAATAAAGATCCAGGAATGGCTAGTCCACGACTCGATACATGAGAACCCTTACCAGTCAAATCAGTCGCGTTGCTAGCTGCGTCTTCCGGGATGGGACGAGACCAACCAAAGGTTAGTGACCTTGGCAGAAATGTCTGTGTCATGCAGCCAATAGCAGTCTTGCATCACAGCTACCGCCTTTGCTGCACTCCTACCATTATCATTTATTTTCGAAGTAATCTGTGATAGATGTGGAGGGGTATACAGAAGAGCACTAGATAAAACGAGGGAGACGTTTCATTCGAAGGTGTGCCATCGGTTGTTCTAGTCGGACAAGACGACTCCCAACAAGTAAGAATGTTTGGTATGGGATCACGCGTGTAAAGACCGGCAACTGAAGAAAGGACAAACAGTGCTTGCAGATGAGTGTATTTCTCAAAAAAACAGTGCAATTTGGGTTCAAGTAGATCATAAGGTTGACGGAAACTCGGGGACTGCGCCTACCTGATGAGCCCCAAGAAGGGCGAAACCGGTCGTGGGCTGTCGAAGAGTTTTCAGCAACTTTGTGAGTAGTTTCCTTTATGAAAATATACTGCGATATCTCGAATATCGTGCCAACTGAATTATGAGGCGGACTGTGCGCAGCACATTCAGCTGAAGGGCATCATAAACGAGAGATTCAACTGAAACCAAAACCAAATTGATTTGCAGATGAGTGTATTTCTCGAGTGCTTAATGTTATTCGAGGCGCAGTCATCTGGCACAAGGTATCCGTCATACTGGGTCCGATGTGGAAGTCAATGCTCGGAATAAACACTCAACGCCATGCATTAAAATATCGTAAGTAAGTGGAGGTCCACAAATGGTGAGCAAAGACAAGTCGCTGATTGTGACTTTAGGAAGCCTCATTCCAACAACAGCTCCGGTGGACTGAGACATTTGTTCAGCGTTCTTTACCACCCCAACGGATCTGTCTCTGTGTCTTTCCCAAACAGAACTTCTCAGTGGTGCTATGTTTTACTCATTTGAATCTCGCGATAGATTGAGCAACCTGGAATAATCGGTTGACATGGATGTCTCAATCGAATCGTCGGTAACTCATGAAACGGCGTATGGTGATGTCAACCGATGGCATCATACGCACCTGGAAGCCTTGTGTTTATTATCAAGGATTTATTTTTTATCGCTCCAAGGCTTCATCCCATATCTTTGCTGTGTTTGCTGACGAAAAATTGGGCTAGTGGGGGACTGGTTGGTCCCGAAAGAAATATAGCTTGGGAGAAGACACCACTCCTCCCAATGAAAATATGTTAAACGTTCCGCCACGCAACCCAAAGAGGAGAGCAAAATGATGCGGTATTTCCCGAAAATGTTGCCGGATGCGCGCCATTTCTCGGAAAAATCTCCCACCATTTTTCGAAGCTTCTTGGCTGTCTGTTTGTTTTTCACTTGTGAGTTCGGCGATGGATAGGGCAGCACTCATGGATTCGATCCGCCCTAACCGCCAAAATGTGGTCTTACCTGGTGTAACAATAAACTTACTGCACATTTAGTTCGGTCAGTCGGTGTCACTGGCGTTCGTTGTAGCCATTGTCCAATTCAAGTCACTTCTCCGTAGACTTGGGGGGGTGTATCACCTCTTCGGTTGTTTTACATTTTAGGTTAAAATCCGGTCACCCTTGACGGACTTGGTTGTTCTCTTGGATGAAGCCTGTCGAGCAGTTCCTTTGTCCCATAGACGTAATTTCCTGGACCAATTAGCGCGCGCGTTTCAAGATGTTATAGTTGATTTGTATGAAACAGATGAACTAGGTAAGCTTACATTCGTATAAATATATTCTCTCGTATTTGTTGACTGTCCACCTGTTAATCACACATCCGTTTTAAGTGGCTGTGTGTGCCCCAGTGTGTTGTTTCTCAGGGTCTTGATTTCAAGTGTTGGCTGTTGGTTTGTTCGCTACGCTGTGTGGGGTAATAGTATCATCAGACACCCTCCTACACAACTACTGGTGTCATCTCAACTGGAGATGAAACGCTTGCAACCAGGTTGTTCATCATAGCGCAACATTGGTGCAGATTCCTCTACCTCCTTTGCCTCATAGGAATGTGACCGCTTTTGGGAACTGGTGGTAGACCAGGCAAACATCTGTAGCCACACCATACGGAGAAATGAGGTAGTGTCTTGGTCAACTATTTTTTAGCTGCCACTGAGGTGGTTTAGAGTGCCGCAAGGATCCCGCGGCTACATTAGCTGGAACTTCGCTCCACAAAGTGCTAATTTGCCAGGAGGACCCAAGGGGAGAAGTCAACCGGGGATGTTTGTGGGTAAAGTAGTACTGTTCTGTGCGATGGAAATGTGAGAGCAGTAACTTATCCCCCCAAACGACCCGCATATCCATATTTATGAAAGCAGCGACGCTGCTTCCCCCGACGAAGGGTGGGTTAGAGAAACCTAAAAACCGCTAGATCTCCCAACGGTTGTATGCGACCGCCGGTGCATTATTAACTGCAGTCAAAATGCCTTTAAAACCAGAGTAAGGTGCTGCTCAAAGGGTTTCTGCTGTGCTCAGCAGCACCAGGAGTCAGAAACTTACTCCCTGTGCCCTCAGGTTAGGCTAGCATCCTGCGACCGAGCAGGTTGGACTATTGAATCACCTGATCTGGAATCGTTCAGCTGTGGTACCCTTGCGGTGTCCAACCGTCATGTTACCAGGAAGCCTGAGGGCTGGGATACTGCCAGGTTGCCAGAGTCTAGACTGGGGAAGTCGAGAGGCAGAGATCGGGCTCGAATCACATACCCTCCGATCAGTAAAATCGCACTCTAACCACTGAGCCATCCCGCCCCCATGAGGAATCTGATCTGGGCAAATAGTGAAAAGCCGAAGAAAAAACGAGAACTGTTGTGGACAGTGAAAGCCCAGGAGATAGAGTAGGCTTATGCTACTGCTATATCAGCTGATACGATCGGCTGGCCCTAGAACACCAAGGGTCAGTGAAACGATGAACGAAAAAGGCGGCCCATTACTTGTTTGAACCTGTTAACCTAAGAGCGCAAAGACAACTGTTTACTGGAACCCAGTCCAGTAAAGCTCATTCAGCGATGGAACTAAGCACAACCCCATGCTGTAGATACCACGAGCTAATGTGTCGGGACCACAAGACACCGGAAGACTAGTGCGAGAAATCCGGTTTCGCAATGAGTGGTTTGAGGTGTATCACGAAACTGGGCTGTTGTATGCATTTTCGGTGTTATGACATATGTCTATCAATTACAGGACCTGAGCAAGGGCTTTCTGTTGCCCATTTTGACAGTATGGACGTTAAAAGCAACCATATGGACAGGATCCCTTGAATATACTGAGGTCACTTTTTTATTTCATTTCACTGGATAGAAGCTTAGACACGGAGCAACGGTTAGGTGATTAACAGCTAAATAGGTCAGGACTTGGTCAAGGGATTTGCAGGGAGCAGTTAGTGAATGAAACACCTTAAGGAGGAATCGTACTTCGCGGTTGACCAGAATGAAAAAGGAGTTTTGGTTAAGGTAGCCCACCTTGAGCCTTTGACTCAAAAGTCTAACCTACAACGTAGTGGTAGGATGTAGGGTCTTGTTCGGAGACCCTGCCCGTAGCCTCTGAATCAGAGTCTGACCCATTTGGCTGTAATGGGTTCGTCTGCGGCAGTTGGAATCGCTGTGCTATCTACATTGACGATCTATGTGGAGAATGTATGGGAATCGTTACAACAACGATGAAATATTTGGCACACATTTGCCGAGTTGGGCGTCTGATAGCACCCATAAGTAAGCTATCTAAGCTTTCTGCAATGACTTGCCGTTTTCCTGTACTGTTTTTTCCGCATCCACCGTTTATACTGTTTTTCTCTGAAAACTTTTTTTACCACTTGACAATGTAACCTATATTGTAAAAATTTGTTTTCCCCTTTGCAGAAGAACGTATTGAAGATTTCTCAACGATCCTCAGGGCCCAAGCTGAGTTTATGCGCGCACTAATGGCCCGAATGTACGAGGAGTAGTAGGGATTCCGGTATTGACGACTATTGTGATGATAATCCTTGGAGCTGTTATATTTTTGTTAAATTCCCTGTTCTTCAAGATTCGCGCCAGTTTCCTGTTTGTTTCTTCGCTTTCACAGACCGTTCACTCTGTGTCTGATCTTGTTATTTTTTGAGAATTTTCTATTTTCTATTTTTAGACCAATGTTGACTCGTTTATTGTTTACAGTACGAAATAGATAGAACGCTGTTGATTGATATAATATGTTGGTGGTCGAGCCGATGGCCGCTGATCCTTTCGCCGAGCTTGGTAATTAGTTTGTAAGTGGAGGAGATATCGTCAATGTGCAGTTGATTGGGTACTTCCTCACACTTCCTCGAACAGTGTCTAACATCCAGGTTGGTACATACCCTTATTGAACTTGCGCGTTAGATACCTTTTCAAAATAATGTACCATTATTATTAACACCTGAAGTCACGTTCACATCATTCTTGTCTCAACAGTCCTACTCCTATCCTGGCATAATTATTCTGGCGAAGGTGGATTCTACAATTCTCTCAACTACACACAACTAATCAAAGGCTGTTCAGCTGGTTTCAAGTCTCTGTGGCGCTACCTGACTTGCAAGTCCTGTCAGGCGAATCAGTCCATAAATGCAACCAGAACAGTAACTGGGTCGTTGTTCGAGGCGTGTGGATAACCAGTCACACTGCGCAAACGTGAACACATTTGCCTTCCCTAACGTAACGAATCGGGTACGTCCAGCGAGTGCTGGTTGAACAGTGGTAACACGCTTGCCTCGCATGTCAGATGCGCGGAGTCCAAACCCCAGCACGACCATTGGATATACACTGATGAGCTCTAATAAGTGCGAACGAAACGAGAGTCCAATGTTTCCCCCCTTTGGTGTAAACTCACGAGAATAATTACGTCAGGACAGAAGAACGACTGTTCAAACGAGAGTGATGTGAACGTGAATTCCGCGAATCAGGCAACCATCTATAACTGGTTCATGACGTCTTGCGTATGGCCGGTTCAGTCTGCGTCTAGCTTCATAAGGTCTGGTCACTTGACAGTTTCCTGTGAACTGTGTTAAGTAGCCAGTCCAAGAAAGTAGGCCCGAATCCGCTTGTGCCGTATCCCTACCCAGTATACTTCTGAATCCATGTGATACAGCGACAACCGATATGGCAGAATACCTGCATAGTGGAATGTACCCATAAAGCGCTGAACAGCAAGGTAGACCGGTTGGCTGCGTGAACACCGTACATCATTTCCCATTCAAAAATTTAACTAACTTCAAATCACTGATTTACACCAGGGATAGCCAACAAGCTATTTTGGGTGGTCGGGCGCTCAAAGGGTAACGACCTTGGTGAGGGTCCTGGTAATTCGCTCAGGGTGTAAGATGGTGCTGTTATGTTGATTTATCGGATACGCGTTCGGTTGACATGGCGAATCTAGGTGACCTCTCCAGTGCGGATTCATACACACACTTCAAAATGTGTAACATAGAAGAACCAGAGCTGTAAACTTGGTTGCATCAACTATCATCATCAAAGCTCCGGAACTGTAAACTGCACAAGCAGTCCGGTAACAACAAGGAATGTACTTTCTAGTGTTGGACCAGCCAAATCCAACTGTACTTGTTCGAATGACTCTTCGGGCTGCGACAATGTTTCGGAAATTCGGCTACTGACTCACGGGTAATCTCTTCAACGGATGCACCGTGCATAGCCAATAAACCTAACTTCGAGTAACGGCTTTCATTTTGCCCTTCTTGAAAATGATTTAATAAATGATGGTAAAGTTTTGTGGTATGACAACATGGCTTTCCAGCACTGGACGATTTTCCACGCTTATTAGGGAGTAACTGTTAACATGCACCGTTTAGTTTGATTGGTCATCCAGTTTGGACATGTCTATTAATTTCCAGCAGCCGGTGGTTTTTCTTGTAAATGCATGAACAGGAATAGGGAGATGCTGAGCGGATTCGTGGAAATTTGTTGGATTTCGCTATCGGTTGAAAGAGGAGCAGCTATTTTGTTTTGTCATGACATCAGGCGCTATTGCCTTCAATGCATGACTCCTTTTCCAACCCCCCCCCCACTTAACAGTGCTGGATTTATGCACCAATTTATCGGCTCCCGCCTGCAATGCGCAGCTACCTACCCCCCCCCCAAACCACCGGGGAAACAAAATTGGGGCAGCAAAAACCCCTGACCGCAGGGA